AAGAAGACAAGGCTGGAGAAGATCATGATACCCATGGCAAGAAAGAGGATAAGCAAGCCCAGCTCGTTGTAGCTCCGCCGCAAGGTGAAGCCCAAGGACTGGAGGCCAGTGGAGTGTCTGGCGAGCTTAAGGATGCGGAGAATGCGCATGATGCGGAAGATCTGGACCACGCGCCGCACGTTCTGGAACTGCAGCACGCTCTTGTTGGATTCGGTGAGGAAGATGGTGACGTAGTACGGCAGGATGGCCAGCAAGTCGATGGCATTGAGTGGGCCCTTGAAAAACTTCCACTTCTTGGGCGAGGAGAGGAACCGCAGCAGGTACTCCATGGTGAACCACGCAATGCACACGGCCTCCACGTGAGCCAGTTGGGGGTTGTCTGTGGTCTGACCAAACTCATCGAGGCTCTGCAGCTCGGGCAGCGTGTTGAGCGACAGGGCAATGGTGGAAAGGACGATGAACATGATGGAAATTATGGCAAGGATCTGTGAGAAGAGAGTCGAAGAAGAGAGTGGGATTTAGTTATCAGCCACCAACGGGATGATCACTCTAGTACCCTGGGCCAGCAGGATGCTCCTCAATGTTCAGGAGCATTTCACATCTCAATAGTCACTTAACGATTGGATGGTTGAGCTAAAAAGATAATTGATTCAAATCTATTTATTATACAGATGTAGAAAATGGCTCAGAGCATTGAAATGATTTAAAGCTAATTATCTAGCGCAGGGGTTGGCAAACTTTTTCTATGAACGGCCAGATAGCAAATATTTTAGACTTTGAAGTCCACGAATTCTTTATTGCAACTACTCAACTCTGCAGTGGTAGCATGGAAGCAGCCTCAGATAATACATAAACGAATGGGTGTAGCTATATTTCAATAAAGCTTTATTGACAAAAAGAGGCAGGGGACTGAATTTGACTTGTAGGCCATAGTTGGCTGACTCATGATCTAGACCAGTGGTTCATACATATTATGGGGTGGGGTACTGCTTTCATGACAGGATACTAATGATAATAACAGTAGTTACCCTTACTGAGTGTTCATTGTCATGTTAGGCACTGTGCTTAGCACTTTCCACACAATACCTTATTTCATTCTTAACAAAAACCCTAGTAAGTATTGTATCTCCAATGATCAGATGAAGAAACGTAGGCTTCCAAAGCTAGTAAGTGGCAGAGACAGGATTTTAACTGGGGTCTGTCTGACCCCAGAGCAGGAGCTCTTAAAGCTGTGTTGGAAATCAGATGAAAGCTATGGACTCCTTTGCTAGAAACACAAAATTTTGCACGCGATCCCCAGAGAGGCATAGTTATCCTGAACCCACGTTATTAACTTACGATTGGGACCATGGACCTTTTGAAGCTAAGGACCACAGCTTAACTACCCTTGAGTCTCCTGGATCAAGAAGACAGTTTGGCCCAGAGAAAGCGCTTACTAGATGTTTGCTGAAATTGATAGAACCTAGGCCAGTCTGTGGCTTATGTAGAAATGCAAGCAGCTGCACTAAATTGCTCTGGGGGTCTTTTTCTAAAAATATAAGTCCAATCACATCACTTACCTGCTTAATAAATTTCTAGGACTCTTCAGGACAAAATCTAAACCCTTAAATTTGTCTATCCAGCCCCCCCAACCCCCATCTGTCCTCTTTTCAGAGACTCGCTCCTCTTCCTCTGCCCTTGCTGAAGTGCCGGGCTGGTTACCACGCTTGTACCACTTGATTCCGGCTGCTGCCGACTGGCCCGAGATGGACATGAGATCCAGGCTGGGCTCAGCCGACCCACTCAGGGATCCAGGGGTGGGGCCGAGTGGGTTATGGAATGGTGAGCCTCTGAATTAAATGGTCAAGTACAATCTTGGCTTCAACCAGCTTCATGTTCTGTCCAAGCTCCAAGCAAGTGTCTCCCAAGTTGTAGGGAACAGAGAAGCCATAAAAGAACCTTTGAGAGAAGCTCAAGAACAAGGGGAAGGGGCAGAGTGAAGGAATGGTGAAGACACGAGAGGTTCGAGAGAGGGTATAGAGGGCACCACTTAAGAGATTGAACTCTTGTGTCAGGCTGTCTTGGGTTCAAGTCCCAGCTCTGTCACTTCCCTACCTTCAGCCAGTTATTTAACCTCTCTAAGCCTCAGTTTCCTCATGTGCAAAATGGGATGATAATGACAGTATCTAGCTCAGAGAGCTGCTGTGAAGATTAAATGTGTTAACATAAGCAAAACACTTAGAACACCTTCCAGCAGCACGTAGTGACTGATAAATGCCAGCTATCATCCTGGGAGAATATCTCAGCCCACAACACACCGTCAGCCCAGACCACCCAGCCTCCGAGTGGCCTGGCTCGTCTTTGCTTTCTGCATAAACGCCTTTGCTGCTTGGGTGAGTGTGAAAGGCTTCTCTCCTCTGCAGTGACTCCCCAGTCATGGCACGTGGCTGTCAGGTCCCTCTGCATTTTGACTTTGACCCCTCTCTTTGAACTTTCCTGAAAGTTCCAAACGTCACGCTTCTCCAGCTACACACGACTATTCATCAATTCTGTGTGTCTGTGCCTCTTTCTTTCTGTCCAGTGCTCTAATCCATCTTTTAGAACCCAACCCATGCATCCCTCGCCTTCCCCTCTGAGTCATCCCTACTGACCCCAGGCAGGGCTGGCCACTCCATCCTCTGGGGTCCCTCATCATTTTGCCATACCTTGGAGTACATTATGGGGAGCGTCCATCACTGCCCACTATCTGTGAGCTTTGCGGGGACAGGATAGGTTCTGAGGGTTACTTCTTCATACCCAGCACCTAGACAAAGGCACGACACCAGCCGGCACTCCCAAAGTGTTCGTTAGCTGATGCTCAAGTTTGCAGAGCTACAAGTGTAAGGGCCAGGACTAGCATTCATTTTTCAATTTGGCAACTATTTATTGATTATCTACTATGTGTGAGGCACTGGGAGCACCACAGGCAGCAAGAGAGCTCCGGGGTCTTTCTAGGCCAGCTCACAAGAAGAAAGGGAGCACCACACAAGGCAGTGTTTCCTCAGCCCCAGTCATTCTATCAACTTCTTGGGTTTTTTTGGCTATGTTAATGTCCGCTATATCCTGTGTCTTAAAAAAAAAAAAAAAGCTCTCGAGTTTTACTTTCTTGATTACACTCATTGAAAAGAAAAATTCTGTAATCACTTTATAAAATGAAACATCTGATACGTACAAAAGCAGATCTAATTTATATATATTTACGAACCATAATTGAATACCTATGAAGCCCAAGTGAAGAAACAGAACATGTAACAATAACACGGACACTTCCTGTGTGTCTTTCTCTACCCCAGAGATAATCAAAAATCTTCTTCATCCCTTTGCTTTCCTGCAGTGTTTAATACAAATGTATACATGCCTAGACAAATTGTTGTTTTATTTTGCTTGGTTTTGATATCATGTTGTATGTGTTCTTCTGCTACCTATACTACTCTTCCCTGAATAGTAAAAATAAAAATAAAAATAAACAAAACACACTCGCCTTCTATGTTTTATTTTACCCTTAGGTAAATTTCTTAGGATGATGGTAAAATAAACTGTTGCTTTTGCATGCTAAGGATATGTGTATTAAATATTCATTAAAATAAATATGCGATCATTGGAATAAAACATTTTAGTAGCACACATTAGGAACTCCTGTGTCGAGGTTAGCGGTGTGACCCCTGGAGCTGGAATCCAGCTCTGCCATTATTGGCTGGATGGCCTTAGGCATTGAAACTTTCCTGGCCTCAGTTTCCTTATTTGTAAAATGGGGATATACCAGTGGTTCTTAACTAGGGATAATTTTGACTCCCAAGGGACACTGGGTATATTCTGCAGAAATTTATGGTTGTTACATTTTAGAGGATGGATGCTACTGGCTGCTAGCAGGTGGAGCCCAGGGATGCTGTTAAATGTCCTGTAATGCACAAGACAGCCCCACAATAAAGAATTATCCAGCCCCAGATATCAATAGTACTGAGGTTAAAAAGCCCTGGGATATACCACTGATAGCCCCTCATAAGTTGTAGAGTAGGAGAAAGGGGACTGTGCATGTATAGCTACTAGTACAGGGCTAGCTAGGCATAGAGTGGGTCTGACTTTATGGGACAGCCAGCTGGGGCCTTGGGCCGAGCCCCAAGGTTGCTGCTGCTGCCTCTGACTCCCTCCAGGAGAGAGGCTGCAGGAGAAGGAGCGGATTGCTGGGGAGTCAGTTTGTTTAAAAGATGGGAGGTCCCGTTTTCCTCAGAGCCTGGCAGGGGAAGCCTGCTCCAGTTTCTAACCCCAGACGACTCCAGGGAAGGCCCACATAATTGATGTCTGCCGACAGATGCATGAATTATGCACCCAGCTATTGTACAGTCCTTAGGAGGAGAGAGGCTGCAGGAAACAGAGCGGATTGCTGGGGAGTCAGTTTGTTTAAAAGATGGGAGGTCCCGTTTTCCTCAGAGCCTGGC